CTTTATATGCTTATTGACGACATTCGCACTGTTTTTGACAGAAATGTATTTTGACAGAGGAAACTTTTATGACTTCACTTCCTTGGGTGAGTTAAACTTAGGTTTCCTTTTGTGTTCTACATTGTTATGACTTATGATTGAAAGATTGTTTAATATCTATTGAGCAGTCTGTTAGATATAAGTGATTGATCCAACTATATATGTGGTTCTATATCCAATTTGCAGTGCGTGAGCTTGATGTACCCGGAGAAATATATGAAAGAAAGACATACCCTTTTGAATTTCCGACTGTTGAGATGCCATATGAGACATACAATGGTGTGAACGTGCGGCTAAGGTAATAACATATTCTCATTTGACATCAGATTGAAACAATTTTAAAATTTTCAATTTTGCATATCGTAGTACATAACTGTTGTTTCTGTTATCTTCAGGTATGTCCTCAAAGTAACAGTTACACGTGGCTATGCTGGAAGCATCGTGGAATATCAGGACTTTGTGGTATGTTTCCTTCAATTTTTTGTACTGTCTTTGTGGCATGATAGTATTTAAGATGGTATGTTTCATGGCTTTGAAACAGGTCCGGAACTATTCTCCATCTCCTCCAATCAATAACAGTATCAAGGTGAGTTCTGATGTGATCCAAGTTTTTTCATTTTAGAACAAGACTCTATGATATATGATAGAACCCAAACCCTCCCATTTTTCACTCTCATTTTCCTGATTCCTTACACCGCTCTTTTGCTGTGATACTAAATCCTTATTTTCTTAAAGCTGATTTTACTTCCCGAGTTATGATCTCTGGCCTTCTTCTTCCCACTTTCTTATTAGCAAACTAGATATGCTTAATTCCATTGGACTCTTACCCATTGTACAGATGGAAGTTGGAATTGAGGACTGCCTGCATATCGAGTTTGAGTACAATAAAAGCAAGTAAGACAAATTCATTTTCATAATATCAGGTTCGAGTGGTAAGGAAAATTTGAAATAACAACTAAATCCCTGTGGTCTGTATGCAGGTATCACCTGAAAGATGTTATCCTTGGGAAAATATACTTTCTTCTGGTGAGAATCAAGATAAAGAATATGGATCTTGAGATCAGACGGCGAGAATCGACCGGAGCAGGAGCTAATACTCACGTGGAGACGGAAACACTAGCCAAATTTGAGTTAATGGATGGTGCTCCAGTTAGAGGTAATGCCCAAATATTTCATCATACGTTCTCAAAAACTCGCAAAGATCTTTTCGTTTAGTTTTTTAACAAAATAAGGTACATTGGTACATGGTGCAGGCGAATCGATACCGGTAAGACTGTTCTTGACACCATACGATTTGACACCAACGCATAAGAACATAAACAACAAATTCAGCGTAAAGTATTATCTGAATCTTGTACTGGTTGATGAAGAGGATCGCCGTTACTTCAAGCAGCAAGAAATCACGTTGTACAGGCTCAAGGAAGAGACATCTTGATGTTTTTTGAAACCTCAAACAGTTTACAAAAGAAATGATTTCAGGAACCTTGTAAAGCCTTTTTTAAAGAGACTTGTCTGTATGCAATTGGTTGGGGACTTGGGAGTGTTCAACGACCCATAATGTTGTTTGCTTTGTTTGGATTCTTGCGACTTCCATTGTCTTCTTCTTCTTTTACATTAGAAATCTCAGATTCTCTCGAATGTTCACAAGGAATAAAGTAGTTGCAATGGAAGATGTTCATAAGGAATACAGTTGTTACAAACCAAAAGCCAAACACAAATATTTGATTAAAAAACAGGACAACCTTGAACAACCACACCTTTAGCAGTAGGACATTTAGCAACAGCACAACCTTCACCAGAAGTTCCCCACCAATTAAGCACAATCCCACTACGTTGCAACGCAAGGAACAAAAGCACAGACATAAAACCAGTTCCTGCATCCATTCCTCCAGACAGAACATAGTTGTATCTCTGCCACCATTCTCTTTTGTACTTATACACGAAATGTCCAAACACAAAAGCCATAACAAGCCAGCTCGTGAAGTTAACCGCAGAAGCTGGTGGCATCATGGACGTGGCTCCGATCAGAACCGGGATGTGAATGTTTGAGATCCATTTCTTCTTTGGGAAGATCCTTGTGGCTAAGTATACCAATACTGGAGCTATGGCTCCTCCTATGAAAAACCAGTTTATGTTTGAATATTCTCCAAGATTACCAAACATTCTTCTTGGTCCTACAAGTCCCCAAACTACTGATGCGTCGAAGAAGACTCGATCCATTGGGCAAGTCCATTGAGATCCTCGTGGAAGAAGTGAAGTGTCGCAGAGGTTTGGGATTTCAGCCATTAGCCACCAAGCTGTTAATGCATAAACGAATACAGCTACTAGAGTGCCTACAACCTGTGAAAGTAACAACCATAGATTTGTCAGCAACTTTTCTAGTAAGAAGAAGACAAGATTGTATGTATGTGAGTGAGAAATATTAAGACTAGCCTGTGCCATGAACATGGTTCTTGGTGGGATCTTCATGTAAGTACCAAGCTTCAAATCAGCAAGGAAAGTCAAAGATTGAGACATGCTGATGAATCCGTAAGTCTTGAAGCATATGTTAGCAACAGGTCTCTCTGGATATGCATACCCAATTATGTATTCTGTGATAATGTTCAAACCAGGAGCCTGCAACAAAAACAGAAACCCGGTTTAATCATCATAACCGGCTTTCTTTTTGCATTTCAAGTTATTGGTCAGTGACTCTCAAACCTGGTTAGTAGTTGCCATGATAACACCAACAAGAGGAGTGAAGAAGATAGCTATGAAACAAGCCAAGAAAGCTGCCCACCAAGGAAGCTGAATCTGTGTCTTATAGTAAATACATATGAAGACAATAACTGCAAGATTCACCGCGAATATCGAAAGGAACCACCAGAGAGGAACTTCTTTGTAATTCCTCTTCATGATCTTTGTATGTATATCCATTTTCTTGTTTTTTTGAAATGCTCCTTTGCTTTGAGTCCATAGATCTTTGCCATTGAAGATCAGGACATGGACAACACTGGCAGCCAAGGTCGCAAAACCGAGTCCGTACGTAACAGCAAAGAAGGTACTCATGTGGATTGGTCCGATCTCTGCGTAAGCTTTGTGATCGAGGCGGAAATCGGGACTGATGATGCTCGTGATGTTGTATTCGTTACCGTTTGCTACAAAGAGTTTACTTGAGAAGATAGGGAAGGTTTTGGCGTTGTAGAAATCTAAATAGTAACAGAGAGGTGTGATTACGTACATCACAAGAAAGAACCCGACCGCGATATTTGCTGTGGCAAAGAATGGGCTAGCGAGCGGGCTTCCGAGGTATGACGCAACGGTTGTCCAGTCTAGACCAAAGGAACCAATACCGAGACCGGATGACCCTGAACCGAGCTGGTTTACCAAAACCGATTTAGGGCTAATCCAACATAACCAAGAGACAGTGGTTAACACCGTGAAGAGATAACCGGGAAGAAGGTAATAGGAGAAGCCAGTGATGAGTGTAATCACAAAGAACTGGTTACGACTAATTCCCCATTTCGATTTCTTCTCTTTCTCGTGCAATGCTCTGTGTATGATCAAAATCAGAGATTTTTTAAAATTCGGATGCATAAACTAAACACAAAAGCATCATATTAGAAAGGAAAAAAATCATTTACCTGAAGAGAGAAACTTGAACAAGATTGCTTGGCCACCACATCTCACCAGGCTCAACTAAATGTTTCCTATACAAACCAGCCCAACCAAATCCCAAAACCTTGCAAACCAAGAAACAGAAAAAGGCTCTCAGTTTTTACTTTTTACAAACCCTAAACCTAGAAATTCAGTTGCGATAAAGAAATATTTTTTTTTTACCTGAGTAGTGATCATAACGAGCAAAGCAGGCAAGAAATCAAGCCTCCTCTTGTAATAAAGCTTAACAGCACTAAGGATATGACTAGCGTAAACAGAGCCAGAGCCTGAGTTTGCGAACACAGTTATAAGAACATGTTCTTTGGTACTAAACGGACCAGGGTTCATAGTGAAAGACCACCTTGTCCCTTGAAAGAATATCCTTGTAGGAAGAACCCTAGCCATGAGATGACCAATGGGAACAACAGCAATCTGAGCTGAAACAGAAGAGATGGTCAAAGGATTGGATCTGTACCAGAAAAACTGGTTGAGAAATGACAAGAGCACACAAGAGGTTATGCCCAAAACCCACATCCTAAATGTAACCGTCGGTGAAGTTGGATCATCGGCTTTAGACACTGTTAATTCAACTTGTGGAACTATACTTATTTCATCATCATCTTCTAGGTAATAATCTGACTCTGACTCTGATTGTATCTCTCTGGTGATGTCTCTCATTTGGTATTTAAAAAAAAAAAACAGAGGATTAATGTTTAGTTTTTCTCTCTGCTATGCATAAAACAAATGGATTGTTTTGTGTTTGTGTGATCGTGCGTAATATGTAACCGTCCTTTTTTTTTTTTGGTGAAAGTGTAACCGTTCTTCAGATTTTTTTTTTTTCAGTAAAGAGATACAACCACACACATATAAAAATATACTTCATTTATACGAAGAGGAATTAACAAGAAATATACTCACAGACAGAAGAATTTTCTTGCTTGGATTGTGTTTTGATTTGATATCTTGAATGAAAAAGATTGTATTTTTTTCAGAAATATAATACTTTATTTAAATAAAGTTTGTTGTATTAATTTTGGTACCATATCTATATAATTTTGGTATAAGATTATGATCCTTTCTTAACCAAAATAATCATTTCTGATCCATAAATTCATAGTGAAAAGAAAATCAACAAATTCAGAATATAAGTTTCCTTAATCTTTATTCTAAAGTCAATGGTAGTCTGCAACCAAAAATAGCCTGATTTGGTCGTGTTTTCATATCATACTTCCTTTTTCATAAAGATCTGTACCAAAATTAATATTCCTTTGTTAAGAAATCATCAGATTCATTTGTAAATTGTAATGAATACTGAAATAAATAGGCTGTAAGGAAAACTGCATCAGTCAGATTTAGGGTGTGATTGGTAAGGACTGTGGCTGTACTTTTGGCTGTAGAGAAAATGGTTGTAAGAACTGTGGTTGTTACTTTTATATATTAACAAAATATGATTGGTAATAAAAACTGTAGAAACTGTTGCTGTTACTTGAAATATTATAATTTATATTAAAATGTAAATTATGAAAAATTAGCAATAGTTATTACATAGATGCGAAGCTCAAAGAAACAACTATTTTATTTATATATACCAGCATGACTATCCGATGTTCGTCAGAATAATTTATATTGATCCACATAAATAATTTAATTTATCATATATAAAAATTTACGAGGCATTTATTACTCTAACCATATTAGCAATTTATTTAATTTAACTCTAAAATACTTAGACTTAGTTTAATTAATAAATTTTTATAAGAAAAATGGATTTCAAAAGAATAAGAAAGTAATAATAATAATTAATTAGTCAAAAAAGTCTTTTAATAAATTTAGTATTGTTTTATAAAAGCTTTTTAGTTGTTTGGGAAATAAGAAATTAGAGTATTAGATAAAAAAGAACATTTGTTACGTGAGGAGAGAGAAACAAAGTTGACTTTTAAAGACTTTAGAAAAAAGCACGGAAAGAAGAAAAAAAAATAAAAAATGACTTTAGTGACTTTAAAAAAAAAAAGCAATAAAAGTTTGATTGGTTAATTTTTAACTGTTAGGGCTAATAATCCATTAAAGTCTCTAGAGCCTAAATGTCAATCAGCCCCTTAACTTTGAAAATTTGAGCCGATACTATTTTGATTTTCCAGTTACATGGTACATTCTAGTTTCAATATTGGTAAGAGAATCTAAATTATTTGATTCAAAGACTCCTAAAGACTAGGGCTAGGTGTGGGGGAAAACAAACATAATCGGAAAAATTGAATCGGATATCAAAATGTTATAAAATCGATTTTTTTTTATAATAAACTTATTGTCATGGTAAAAAAAAAATCGAATCTCAAAAGTGATTTAATGTAATCAAACCAAATCAAACCGAATAAATTTATTTATTTAAATTATATAAAAAGGAGTAGTCATATATTACACGACTATTAATTTGATCACCATAATGCAAACTGAAATTTGATGACCTTATTAATGATCTTAAATATTTCATCTACTCTAGTCAAAATTTAAGAAATTGAAACTTTCATTAGATGTTACTAGGGTTCATCTAACCTAACACAACCTATTAATCCACAACAACCTATCTAACTACATATGTGAAGTACATAGCTATGTATTAATTACCATCATCGGTTTTTTTAGAGATAAAGTAAAAAAAAATATTTATATTATTAAATCTATTAATTGTAGAGTTCTATACAAAACAAATCCAAGATAAAAAAAAAAACCAACTAACTCCACAGAGAAATGATAAGTAAAATAACTAAGAAAGAAGAAAAAAAGAGCAGATTAAGGTTCATTTACTTGTTGTGACCAAGATCAGAAAACTGGACATCCATGCATTATAACGCCTTTAGCGGTAGGGCAAGACGCGAGGCTACAGTTTGTACTATCATCAGCGTTTCCCCACCACATCAATCCAATCCCACTACGTCCAAGCGTTAGGAATATCAGTATAGTCATAAACGCAGTTCCTGCGTCTAGACCGCCCGACAAAACGTAGTTATACTTTTTCCACCACTCTCTCTTGTACTTAAACAGAAAGTGTCCGAATATAAACGCCACGATGCACCAACTCGTGAAATTTACCGCCATCGCGGGTGGCATCATCGAGGTTGCTCCTAAAATGACCGGAAAATGAATCTTTGAGATCCATTTGTGACCTGGAAACACTTTGGTTGCTAGCCAGACTAAGAAAGGAGCGATTGCACCAACGAGGAAGAACCAGTTTATGGCTGAGTATTCTCCTAAGTCACCGAACATTCGACGGGGCCCGACAAGTCCCCAAATCACAGAAGCATCGAAAAAGACACGGTCCATTGGACATGTCCATTCGCTGTCCGGGGGAAGCAAAGATTTGTCACATAGATGAGGAATGTCTACCATTAACCACCAAGCAGTCCCTGTGTACACTATCACAGCCACAAGCGTTCCAACCACCTAAAAAAGTATTGTGTTACTAATTATATCGCGATAACAAATAATTAATGATCAATCAAGAGGTAAATTAATGACCTGTGCCATGAACATGCTTCTAGGTGGAATCTTCATGTAGTGACCGAGTTTGAAGTCTTGGATGAATGTTAAAGCCTGAGTCATACTGATGTATCCATACACTTTGAAGCACATGTTCGCAACCGGACGTTCTGGATAGATATATCCGATTACATATTCCGTGATGACGTTCAAACCCGGTTCCTAAATCAAGAGAAGATTTATTAATATATACTTTTTTTTATTGAAATAAAAAAGACCTAAATCTTTAGATAGTAAACTAAATAGAATTAAGATGAATAGAATATGAATTTATAACAGAATGACGATTAGAGAAAAGAATTGTTTTAGTGGTTTTTATTGTAAATGGCTAAATTTCAACAAAATTCAAATGTTTAATTCATTTGTTTCTCCACTTATGTAGTATTATAGTAAGTACCTGATTAGTGGTGGCTGCGATAACACCGATAAGAGGAGTGAAGAAGACGGCAATGGCACAAGCTAGCAACACTCCCCACCAAGGTAGCTGCACGGTCTGATTGTAGTGCAGAGAGATGAACATGATGAGAGCAATGTTGAGTACGAGGATCACAAGAAACCACCACATGGGAACTTCTGTATAGTTTTTCTTCATGATTCTCGTGTGTACATCCATTTTCTTGTTCCTCTTGAAAGCTCCTCTTGTTTGCTTCCACAGATCCCTAGAAAATTAGAAGTAAATTATGAAGAGATGGGTTAGAGACTATTATCAAAAGACTAGTCTCAAGAAGGAGTGAAAATTTAAGTGTTAGGGACTAATTGAAATTAGTTACCTTCCGTTGAAGAGTAAAACATGGACAATAGTTGCTGACAAAGTGGCAAACCCAAGACCATATGTAATTGCAAAGAAAGTGCTCATATGGATTGGACCAGTCTTTGTATAGATGTCTCGGTCAAGATGGAACTTATTATCAATGATACTCAAAACATCATAAGACGAGCCATTTCCCATGAAAAGCCCACTTGAGAAGATGGGATATGTTTTGGCATTATAAAGATTAAGCCAGTAGCAAATCGGAGTGGCGACATACATGACAACCACAAAACCGATGGTTACATTGATGGTAGCGAAAAGCGGACTAGCGAGTGGACTACCGAGGTAAGAGCCAATTGTAGCCCAATCAATACCAATTGCGCCAATACCAAGACCTTGTTCACCTGAACCGAGTTGGTTAGCCAAAACGGATTTGGGACTAAGCCAACAGACCCATGAGATGGAAGTTATCATTGTGAATAGATAACCGGGGAGAATGTAGTATGCGAAGCTAGTCACAAGGACTATGAGGAAGAATTGGATTCGGGTCATGCCTCCCTTTTTCTTCTTATCCTTCTCGTGCAAGGCACTGCAAAAAGGTTACGAAACCAATTAATTCTTGGAGACTACTCATAAAGATGATGTTTTAAAAATGTGTGGTGAAAAGTATATTACCTGAAGAGAGACACTTGAACTAGATTGCTTGGCCACCACATTTCACCTGGCTCAACAAGGTGTTTACGGAATAGACCAGCCCACCCAAATCCGAGAAACTACAAAAATATTTCATAAGTCAAAGATGTAAGAAAAAATCACCAAACAGTGAACTCTTTGAACAAAACTACAAATTTGAAAACAATTTGGTTTCAGAATTGTACAAGTAATCATATTTTAGTCTAACCGATCACATAAACTTCAAATCAACGCCAACAATATCCTTTACTTGGGGACAAAAACTAAGTTCTCATAACTTAAAAGTTAAAAAAGAAAACAAGTTTCTTAGTTTAGCTATGGTTAAAGTAATTCGCTATCTATCTATTTATTATATATAGATCACGAAATTCTTAAATTATCTATCATTTAATTTGATATTTAAAATATAAATTCACACTATAATTAAGGAAACTGAAAGGCACAAACTTTTCTAGAGAAATAGAATGAATAAACACATACAAGAGCTTCAAACAAATAGAAATAATGAGATCAATTATCTATTTATGTAAAACTCTTAACCAAAGTTAATAAACCTAAAAGGGATTTGTATGCTTAATTAATTAGGGCACAGAAGAATCATACTAATTACCTGAGTAGTGATCATAATGAGAAAAGCCGGTAGAAACGGAAGAGATCTCTTATAGTAAAGCTTAATTGCACTAAGTATATGAGTCGCATAAACCGTTCCTGCTCCCGAGTTAGCGAAAATCGTGATCATAACATGTTCCTTGACATTAAAAGGACCAGGATTCAAGCTAAACTCCCACCTTGATCCTTCCAAGAACTTCCTTGTCGGAAGCACTCTAGCCATCAAGTGACCGAGCGGCACGACTGCGATCTGAGCCGAGATTCCGGTAATAGTCAAGGGCATCTGTCTGTACCAGAAAAACTGGTTTACGAACGAGAGTATGATACACGCCCCAAGACCTAAAACCCACATTCTAAAAGTGAGAACCGGTAACGTTGAATCATCGGTTTTTGGAACGGTTAGTTCGACCTCCTCCACCACGCACCGGTCCATCTCATCGACGACTCCTTCTACATTCATGGCTCCGGTAGATTCTTCTACAATCTCATGAGCCATTGAAAAAGATTGGAGAGTTGTTTTTTTTTGTTTGGTAAGGGGTTTTGTTGGAGGAGGGACGTGTGGTGAATCTTTATAAGGTTAAAGGTGAAAAATAATAATATAGATTCTGTAAAGATTCACCTTATTGGATTATTACTAATCTCATGTGCATCCCTAAAAAAGTGGGTATAGTTTTGCTAACAGAGTATTCTAAACTCTTATTATCTTGAAAAGATTTTATACAAAACTAAAAAGTAGAAAATATCGTTTTGAAACAAATCAACGGAAAAAATGCTTTCTCTAGAGTCTTAGAGTTGAACCAATCAAACTTTGTTTAGCTAAATTTTGGGTTTTCAAATCTTTAAATAATTTTAGAATTGCTACGTACAAATCCTAATGCCAGTCTTATCTACCAAACAGTCATAATCGC